CCTTAAATTCCCTTAGTTTTGCAGGAATCAGATAAAAGATATATATATATATATATCAGAGAAAACAATGAGACCAACACATCATTGAGGTTTGCAGACATTTGTTTACGCACAGCTCTCTTAAGGTCATGCTCTAACGTTTCAATCAGATGTTGCATGACCCAATTTTGGCCCAAGTTTTAGCTGCCAAACAGAGGGCCTTATATTTGAATCTGGAATAAAGTTTGTAGTTAACTCGATGACTGAAAGGTGCCCAGCTCCTGTGGCTTTAAAACAAGCCCAATTCATCATCCCTCCGCTACCGTGTTTGATAGTTGGTATCAGGTGTTTGTGTTGATATGCTGTGTTTGGTTTTGAACATTACGGCCAAACATCTTTATTTTGATCTTGCCTGTCCAAAGTGTCCAAGTGGGACACTGTTTTAAACATGGCAAACTTCAGTCTTTTTCTAATGTTACTATCATGAACTTTAATATTTAACACAGTAAGTGAGAAAAAATCTGTCAAATACTATATATGAGACATGAAGCCCCAGCTTCTGAACTTACAAAGCAATATGCTGAACTTTATATAACATCCCTGTCTAAATCTGAATAAAACTAAAACGGTAATAAACAGCCCAAGAAAGACATCCTTTTTATTGCTGTGACTTTTAGGGATGAAGCAGACCACAGAAGCACAAAGTCATGGTTGGCAGCAGCTCCAGGCTCCAACACAAGCCCGTTTCTCAGTCTCAGCCTTCGTCTACATAAAACACGGCTTTGTCCCGCAGTAACAAACAACCAGGAAGGAACAGGAGGCGGGATACTTGTTCCATCCAGTGTGTGTATACTGGTGTTGTCCCATCCAGTAACATTGTTGTTATGGGATACCAGACTTCCATGGTGCAGAAATGGTCTCACACACATACAGAGAGACAGTGTGCCAGAGACTGTTGCCACACTGAGCACAGGCCAATCGTATATCTGCCATCTGGAGGGGAGAGAACATACAGTGGCACTGCTGGCAGCAAACAAGATCATTACAGAACAAAACTGAGGAGAATTATTACAAACAGACTTTGGTGTGTAAGCAGAGGTTTTCCTTTGTTTGTAACTCAGTGTCTGGATTCTGCCCTATAAATACTACATGTCTCTTTCAGTATATTCGCTTTAACTTTAAAATTATTATTATTCTCTGTTCTTGCCATCAACTAAACCAGCTCTGTTTGCATTTTTGGAGTTTTGACAGCACCTAAAAACCCGAGTCACATCCAACTGTGTTTGGTTTGAGTGAACCTGACAAGTGAACCTGACAGGCCACATTATTAGATTTTCTCTTCTCCCTGCAGCCACAGATGAGACAGGGGAGTTTAAGCTGATTATGTGAGACACATTTTTATACAGTTTTCTGATGAAATGAATGGTTCAAACATCTGATTAGATAAACACGCAATTCAGTGAGCTGTAATAAAACATTGTTGGCACTATAAAGGTGGAAAAGAGCTATTAAAGAGTCGTCAGTAGTAATGGTCTCGTGATCTTCTGTGGCTTCAAAACGGAATAAACTAAAGAGTAAAAGTAGAAGCAGTACTTGCAGTTTCTTAATTTCAGTGGCTGCTCTAAATAGTTTAGGAGGACCAAAACATCCTTTAAATTCTTCTCCTAGTTCACTGATTTGACCAACTAGCATTTTTTTGTCAGTCTGTCTATGCTGGGTGTCCACTCTTAAATCAGACCATATACTGAAGACACTAGATTTAAGGTAGACTTACTAAATCAGAAAACAAAAGGCAAACCATTGTTCAGGTCACAACAGAATCCCTTACGGGTAGCCAGGACCAACTTTTATAGGAAAATGCAAGGACTATGGCAAAGACTAGGAGGAAGGACGGGACTATTTATACACAGAGGTAAGTGGAGAAGCTGGAGAATGGCATCCAGCTACAGACAATCCAGGCAACCATCAAAGAAAGACTCAAGAGGCAACTGACTTTCAAAGTAAAACTGAAAAATACCAAAAAACAAATAAATAATAGAATGGAACAATCCATAAATACAACAAACACAAAAATCTAAACTCGAAACTCTGGAAAATGCAGGAAAAATCTAAATAGAAACTCAAATGCAAACATATTCATTGAGGACTCCAAACTTGAGAACATGACCAAACACTGGGTCTGTGACACAGTCTCGGGAGGAAACCAGCCACAATCATGACTTCACTAATCTTCTATAATATTTAATGTTTATACATCAGCCAGAGTTAGAGCATACAAATTGCAATGTGTGCATACTTCAGATGCTCTTAGTACATCTCGTTTGGATCAGCGGCATCTTTAACATCTAGCCACAGACATCCTTATAAACACCTGCCGAGTCCTGTTACAGCCCCACAGTTTGCCATTAGGATACATACAGAGACAAACAAATTTTTAAGGTAAAAGTTAGAGACCATCTGGTCATAGTCTCACACCACACACATCCACACCAACAACTTGGACTACACCCATCCACCACCACTTGGCCTTTGTGATGATACCCCGGTACAGTTTTGACACTCTGGCTTTGAGAAGGAGTGTGACAGCAGTAGATTTCTGCCTCTATAACTGTTGATTTTTCTCTTGTGAAATGTGTCCTGAAAACATCTATGCTTCCATTGTAAGAGCAAAATGTGACATGCACGCCCACCATGAAGGAGTCCTGAAATCACTCGCTGGTAGCTGTCCTAGAACTGAAAGCAAAGAATCAAAAGCATTTTTGGACCAAAACAACTGCCATCTAACAACAAAATTGGGCTGTCAGTAGACAAGAAAACAACCCAAATAACCCCTTTCCTCTCATCTCTGCACCTGTGATCTTGATGAATTTCTAATGGGATTCTCCTCTTTTCCCCAGCCCATCTGTTAGAGGCTGGCTGAATGCGTGCAATGGGGGATACACCCTCACACTCAGAGCTGGCGCTCTCCCCGTCGTTCTTCCATTAACAGCAGATGTAAGAGACCAATTAGAGTGCTGAGCAGCCCCTGGGAGCTGCACCACGGATACCAGGAGGTTAATTATATCTATTCACCTTACAACCGGCCAAGGTTTAAAAACAGAGGTGTTGCCAAATCTTTGGTCCGTGACGAATCAATACGCTTATAGAAATAATTGCACAACACAGTCAAACCTACACTCATCTTTTCCAGGCTACAGAAGTGATCTTTAATTACTTTAAGAGGGTTTGGTGGTGCAGGATTAAGAGTGAGATCCATGCACAAACATTCACATACAGACATGCATGTGTGCACATGAATGCATGTACGCATACCAGTGCGCAGATGATCTGTGCTGGAAATAATTTGCATAGTAACTTGATTTAAATACCTTTATGTTTTTGTGTAACATTCAGATTAAAGAATACGTAACCAAATCCTTTATGCATTATATCTCTCTGATTGGGAACAACAGCCTTGGGAATACTTTGAGCATGAAAGAAAAACTAAAAATAATGCCACATCTTTGGGATTTTGCTGACCTGAGTGATTTATTAGTGGTCACCCTCCCCCACAGGTAAAATTCTGCGCTCTGCTGAGCACATTTAGTGTTACAGTGCAGATTGAGAGCATCCTACTCACTGATGGAGTACATGATCTTGTTTCTGGCACTTTTTAGGGGTATTTTTATGCATCCCTGACATACCGTTCAAGGACTCATGCTTGCCTGCATGCCTCCTGTACTGACATTGGAAGGTTGTGCATGCACATGTGCACACTGAACCTGAAAACGGACACATAGACACTCATACACAACCACAAGCGCATACATAACAGAGAGCAGTACTCTGCCAGAAGCATTAGTGAGACGCACACGCACATATATACACGGAGTCAGTGTATATATTTAGCACAGGAACTCACACGGTCCTGCTTTACATGCCTGATTGTTTTAGTAGGTCATGAGATGAGGATGCTTGGATGTGTGTCAGTGGAGGAAAAGAGAAGAATAGTAGACAGAGAAGAGAAGAAACACTTGACAAAAATTTCATCTAATTCCTAGTTGCTCTCCAAGAAGCTGCTTCCAGTGATTGTTCTGCTGATCACAAGACAATCATGCAACAATATCTGAGCACCTAAAATGTCTCAATAAAAAGGAAAAGCAGGGATAAAGCTATATTTTACTTAGCCTAAAGTCAAAAGAGCTTTCTGTTTTATAGAAGAAAGGAAATACCCCTGAAGTGAAGACAGATCTTTAATATACTGGGTACACATATGTTATATGTTCTCCTCACATGATTACAAATCACAATTAGATAAGAAGATATCATGTCTCAAGCACCTTATGTTGTAATATAAAGCAGTTAAATTTGAATTGCAGAAATTGAAGAAAAATTGCTATTAACGCAATAGAGATGAAACATTTTAAAGCCCAACTGATCAGCGGGTCAACTAAGATAACAAAGGAATACATTACTGTGTGCCATGCATGTTTCTTTCTTTCATACATAACCTTATAAACATACTTTGTACTATTCCTTTGGCTTTTAAGGCAGATTTGGCTTTTCATTGACCTCTGCATGTATGCATGTACTCGACAGATGTCAGTAACACGCTGTATAACTGAGGGTGGACACATTTGTGCCAAAAATTGCTCAGTGGGATCCTGGCTCATGGCCTAATCTTCCTCTTCCATGCAGATTTTATACAACATGCTGCAATACGCAGATAAATTCTCCACTGTGCACACAGTGGAGTGCACACTACGGGATGCCATATTTAGAAGTATTTAAGATAGAGATTTCATGAATAGCTGCGTCAAGGCTGCCGTGAAATGAACAGTTCGCACTACATAGGAGGCATGAATTTCTCACAAATCTCAAAAGCAGCTCGATGTAGGTGTAAACATACAAACATTCAATGACGGTAAGTACAGAGCCACTTTTCTTTTTTATCTGTTAGCAGCCAATGTGCCCCTATTCAAGAAAAAAGTGCGAGGC